AGTGCCTCGCTGGGCTTGGGCTGGTACGCAAGACTGAGGCCCGAGCCACACTCTCCTCTTTTGCTAAACAGGTTAAGTGTGACCAACTTGGAAGATTTGAAGAAGAGAATCTTGCGAGTGATCGCTCACTGCAATAAGCCCAAGGTAACCTGGGGTGCCCTGTAAGCGGATCTGCGGGAGCTGGGGCCGCCCCACAAGGCTGTCCAGGGCGTTGAGAGGATGTTTGTAAATTCAGAGCCTCATAGCCCAGGGCGTTTGACGCCATGCTGGACTTCTGTCCCTGTTCCCTGGAGGTCACCTAAGAAAGCAAATGGCTGAATCAAGCGCATACAGTGCCACAGTCAGGAGCCCCAGCAGAGCTGTCCCTGCTGGTTAAGCGATCTGCTTTCTGTCACGTTTCTTAGTCCCGCTGTGTGACTGGCAGTGTTTTGATGCCTCTGGTCCAAAAGTTTAGAAAGTAAGGCTGCCAGATACAGAGTTTAAGCAGCGACGGTATCCTGTTCTGTGGAATAAAATGCAGTCATTAAAAATGACGACCTGGATTTCTGTTTACCAGCAGAGAAAGAGCCACGGTGTAGTGAAGAGTTGAGGGGGCGGGGGCAGGATTAAAAATGATTCTTAGGACATAATCTAAGGCAGGGGGAGGTGATGAGATAGTTTGATAAAAAATACACCAAAATGTGGTGTTATGTAGGTGATGAAATTAGAGATCAGTTTCACTTTTTTTTAAACCTTGTTTTGTGACATTGTTTGTTGCTAGTCAGAAGAAAAAAAAAACTTTATCCTTATCAGCAATACTCCCTCCAAATTAAAAGAAAAAAGAAATTTGTATGTAAGGTCTCTAAGGAAAGAGCAAAACTGCTTTACAGAATTGCTTAAAAATAAGGTCATTTTCTTCCTGCCTCAATTTGGTTTTTAAATGTTGCTACTAGCGTGATGGCTTCATTGCCCACGAGACACCTGAGTTCAGGCCCAGTGACCTCCACACTCATGAGATTTGTGTTGACAGACGGCCCGCGGGTCCGGGAGGTCTCCGTAGCGGTGGAGGCCTCGCAGTAACGGGCCTGCTGCCCTCGGCTCTCCCTTCAGTACAGGATCCTGCTGCGCGGCTGCTGGTATGAGCTGTTCGGCGGGAGCCCGGAGAACTTCCCCACGGAGTTGGACGGGGGCGACCTGACACAGCCGCTTCTCGGGGAGCAAAGTCTGCGGACGCACGGGTCCCCGGCATACAGCTTCTCCAGCGACTCCCCACTGGAGTCCCCCACCAAGTACCCGCCCCTCTACCCGCCAGGCAGAATCATCCACCTGGAGGAAGAGGGCAGCTCCGGGAGGTGAGTGCGGGCAGGGCGCGGTGTGTCACCCCCAGGAAGGGGTTAACCTGGAAGTGAGGCTTTGCTAGTTTTTTTTTCCAGGTTTTCCTGCTATCCTGCTGCTCATTATAGCGCGAAGTGGTCCCATGAATCGGAATTCAGCCGAATCCTCATTGGCCCAAAGATGCTAACGGACCACATGCCAGACATCCTGATGAGAGCCTTGGACAGGGTGGTGTCCGACAGGGCCGCCTGCCTCTCCTGCCCAGCCCGCGGGGGCGCGGACGTGGGCGTGGCCTAACCAGGGCTCCCGGGGGTGCGGACATGGGCGTGGCCTAACCAGGGCGCCCAGAAACTGCTGCGGGATGGTCGACTCTTCGCTGTTGCTCTGAAAGTGACTTACCGCCCGAGCGATTCCCATGATGCCAGCACCTGAATGCCCATCGACTGGATTTTGATAGTCTCCTAAATGACTGAATAATTTGAGAAATACTTTTGATCACAGTATTAGAATCAGGGGTAAGGCGAGGGCACCGGGAGTGGACACGTGGGAAGCTGCGGGAGTCCTCCTGCCATCTGGCTCATTCCGTGGGAATCCAGCCCCTGGGTTTAAGGCCCTGATGGATGTGTAGGCTCCTGCCCCCAGGCCGCCTTTGCAGTGCAGGGTCCTGTCTTGTGACTGCTTAGACTGGTCTGAATTGGCACATAAGCATGCAAGCTTTTTTCTTTTGCAGACTGGATTTTCCTAGCTACACAAACTCAGTATTGGTTGAGGGTACAGACTGGAGTTTTCTCCTGGGTGGCCTAAGTAAGGGTCAGCCTGCGCTCTGACTGGGAATCAAGACAAAACCAGGTCTGGGAAGCGCATCGAGACCACGCTCCTGCCTCCGAGCTCCAGGATCACGCTGTCTGGCTGATCAACATCGAGTAGGTGGTTCAGTTCTCATGTGATGTTCGGGCTCTTGGAGGTCGGCCAGTGGATTCAGAGGGAGTTAAAAAATAAAGCATTTACACGTCACTAGTGTCTGCACAGCGAAGAACTCTTCACCTGGATGTTTCTGGGAAGGTCTACTTACTGGGTACTTCTACAGCAATAGTGTTTTAAACAGTTTTTTTTCTATCCACTGTAAACAACAAAATGAAGTGTTAAGTTCTCTTGGAGCTCTGGCTGAGGACTGAAGATTGCCCCGGCATCTGATTTCACCACACCCCCTATCCAAACCCCATAAAAAGCCGGTAGAGGGATTCCTTCAGAAAGCACAAGGCCACAAGGGTGGGGGAGAAGAGGCGAGGGCCATCAGGCAGCCTGAGACAAAGTGGGGAGGACGGCCAAGAACGAGTCTGGTCCACAAACCAGCCCCTGCCCCGCACCCGCCATGGGGTGAAGCAGGTGGCGGGGGAGCCAACCCGTGGGGTGGGCCGTGTGACAGCGGGGAGACTCCTGGCCCTTCGTTTGCTTCCAGTTAGAAGCCGGACACCAGTGCAGCTGAAGGCCCAAGACTGAGACTCCCCAACTCCTCCCACTTGGCTCCTGGAACCTTCAAGAAGATTCTCCAGGAAGATCAGACTCTAGAGACACCCCCCTCAGGGCCTCCACAGCTGTCACAGACACACCACCTTAGCTTCTGAAAACCTGCAAAGACCATGTTAAAAACCTCAACTGAAACGCCATGGTCACGTCCACCTGCTACAAGTTTCGTTTCTGAACAATTCCTATACATTCCTAGCGGCAGAAAGGCGAGTGGTCTCGGGCACTCAGCACCACCGCCCCGGCCTGCCCCACCTGTGTGCTGTCTGCGCTTTAGGTTTTCAGTGCTTAAGCCTGAGCCAGGGACTGCCAGGCACTGCAGGAACAAGGGAACCAAAGACCCAGGAGCAGCCTCAAACCCACAGCTACAGCCTGGGACCAGAACGAGTGCTGTGGCCACAAAACCGGGCCACGAGGCTGGAAAACAGTACTGAGAGAAGAACGAACACCTGAAAACTAAAAGCAGCAGGGAAACGGATACCTGACTCACAGGAGACAGAAGCTTCCAGGTGGAACCAGCCCACCATGCACAGGGGTGAAGATACACCCAGGAGGCGGGAGTCGGAGGCAGACCCCCGGAGGCCTGGAGACGAAAGGCCGTCCCGGCCCCAGTCCCCCAACAAAGGAAACGGCCGAGAAGACAGTGGGAGCTGCGGCGATGCCCTCCAAAAGTTCAAGGGGTGTTTTCCACCTGAGATTTTAGACCCAGCCAAGAAGTATTAGGGAAAAAAGAAGTTATTTTCAAAGACACAAGGGCTCAAAAACATAGGTGACCCACGTATTCCTCAGGAAGTCCTTGGAGAACCTGTCCATCAAGATGAGAAAGAAAATTAAAAAACGAGTCAAGATGTAGGGAATAAAAGATCAACACATAAGAGAAATGGTGGTCAGAGGATTCTGAGACTTCAGGAAAATGAAAATTGACAAAACACGTAACACATCTGAACATCTTGAGATTCAGACAACAGGTGGAAAGTTCACAGTTCAAGTACTAAGTACACAGGGGAAAAAGCAAATAAAGTATTAATTCTCCCAAAAGAAACCAAAAAAGTTGTGCAGGAAGGGCAGATTCTTGCTGTATGGCTCATCCTTGAGTATCCACTTGGCAGTAATGAGGAGACACCAAAGAGTGAGCGCCAACCAAAGCCATTACACTGAAGGGACGGGACAGGTGTGCTGGGGCCGGGCCTGCACTTGGGAGGGAGCTACCCCACATCTACCAGGTGGGGATGTCGGGGATAGGGGGTAAACCTGAAAAACCCAACCAGCGTTGAAAGCACCCGGCGTAGCCTGAGCTCCGGGGAGGGGAGGGAGGCTGAAGGGAGACTCAGTCACCGACGGCCAGGGGTTTAGATGATCATACCTATGCAAGGAAGCCTCCACAAAACCCAAAGGGGCCAGGTTTGGAGAGCTTCCAGGTTAGTGAACACGTGGTGACTTGGGGAGGGTGGCGCTCGGAGAGGCGTAGGCGCTGCGAGCCCTTTCCCCAGACCTCGCCCTGAGCATCTCTTCCATCTGGCTGTTCCAGTTACATCCTTTTATGATAAACTAGCGATCCAGGAAGTAAAACAAGCAAGCAAGCATATGTTTTAGACATGTGGAGACAAGTATCAAGAATTGGTTAAAAGAAAAATAGTTGCCTCTGGGGAGGGTGTGAAGGGGGAAGATTGCTGTTTTTGTAGGAAACCTTTAGATTCGGTCTTTAAACTGCGTATTTATCTTTGGTTAAAAAACAGACGATTCAAGAGTAAAATAATCTTCAAAGCAATAAAAATTTAAAAAATCGAACTATCGTATAAGTTGTCTCCAGAAAGTATCTTAAAGCCACACAGTCAGCCTCCACCCCACCAAGCTGCCAACTCCAGTTCTAACATCTGCATTTCCACCCAGAGCTCTGGCCTGAGATGCCCCCACCCCCCACCCAACGTGCACATCACTCACGTGAGTCTCGCCAAATTCAACAGATCCGAAACCAATCGCCCAGCACCCCACCGTCACTTGACTCATCCGTCTTCTGCCCGCAGAGGGGCCAGCCTATCCCCCAAGCATGAAAACACGCACTGAAAATGAGCGTCTCCCAAAACCCAACATCCTACAGCGAGGCAGGGGAGCACATACACCAGAAGGCTGTTCTCCAAGCTCAAGAACTCAAGTATTACCAGTCATGATTCAAGGATTTATTAAGTCATACATGCAAAACATACTGCTAATCGCATTAGCAAAAGATCAATGTAAAAACACTCCACAATTCTGCAACTGTCGATTTAAAAACTTTTGTTCTAGTGGTTGAAAGGTCCAAGCTCGCATTCTTGCCAGTGGGTAAGTGGTACAGAACTTGGTTAGCACGGGTGTACAGAACCTCACAGACCCAGGGAACACTGTCAGGGCTGGGCCAGGCGGCGTGCGTGCACGCGGGAGGCGGGGTCAGTGCTGTTAGTCGAGGTGCGGTGTCGGTGATCTGGTGGGACAGCGATGGTAAGAACGCCTGTAGTTCAACAACAGTATCTTAAGAACTGTAAAGCTGCAGCACATGATTTTCACACCTCGTTACTAGAAAACTAAGGAAAGCACTTAGTAGCTCTGAGTAAAAGAACATGAAAACAGGAATGCACTTCTACTAACCTACCAAAAAGTTCTGATGCACATTCAGAAAGATGTTACACTACACGGAGGCGTACTGCTCGTGAAGAAAGGGTTCTTCTGTGAGAAGAGCACTAAGTTAGCAACTATGAGAACCACCAGGTCAAAGCTGAATTAAATGCCCAGTTTCAGGAGGGATGGGCAGGTTTAGAAAAAAGAAAAGCTTAGGAAAACACCTACTGGTAATACCGACCTTTCTTCATCATCTACCGCATTAGAAATTAACCTTCAAAAATTTTCACCCGTGACACTTTTAATAGGTGATTATGTGTACAATGTAGTGTAAGTTAATCTCCATATTTTGTCAAAATACTGTCTTCATCCTTTGATCACAAGTGTTCCACACACTCCACCCCAGGGCACCGCGGCCAGAGCAGAATACTTCATCGGAGGGAACACGTGAGGGAGGGTTCTGTTCAAAATCTCACAAAGGCTAATACACTAATTTAAAAAAAATTCACTACGAAATCAAAGACTGATCCAGAGAGCTGAGCTGTTACACTCAGTCGCTGTGACCTACAGTACGATGTTTGGTAGTGGACGTGGGCTGAGAAACTGATGCGCTCGGGCCAACACCTCGTGGAGGAGGCGCTCGGCTCCCAGCATCTGAACTAGGGAGAGCGCGCGAGCACCTCCTCACCTGGAGGCCCCGTCTTCTCCGAGACAAAGGTCTTTAAACGGTTTAGTGCTTAGTATTCTTAGCACAACAATGCAACTTAGCTCACAAGGTATTTTGGCAACTCTTAGTCTGAGCAAGAATAGGGGCTTTTGAAAAATAAGGCTTTAAGAAAGCTTGTCATTTTAGGGCTAAACTTTAATAGAATGTGAAAGTTTGAACTCTTACACTTTTAAACAAACAAAACCTAAAAATTACTGATTGGTTCAAAATGGTTTTATGGAAAAACTAATCTGTAACAAAAACTTGGCATTGAGTGCGAAGGCTCCACCATTTGAGCAAAGCGTACAAAGGTTCCCGGGGGGGGGGCGGGGGGGGCAGGAGAGGCTGGACGTTTACAACAGCAGGCATTTTCTCTTCCTCTTCTTGACGGGGGGCGGGCAGAGAACCGCTCGGATGGCTTCATCAAACACTGTCTTGAGGCCTCGCTGCGTGAGCGCTGAGCACTCCAGGTACTTCACAGCACCTGCCAGGAAACAGTGCACTGACCACCGGGATCAGAGCAGGGTGGAGCAGCTCCCCAGGGCCCCCAACCTGCGGACCCCATCACCCCACCCCAGCCCTGAGGGCCCTGCTCAGCTGGGTCCCCAAAGGCCAACCCCCAGAGTTCACTTCCCCAGACGCGACTCCAGCCTGTCGCAAAAATAAAAACACATGCAAAGCCAACAAGAGCAATGCAGGGGTCATACCGATCTCCTTGGCCATGGCTAAGCCCTGTGGGTAGGTGATTGGGGTCAGCTTCTTCTCCTTCAGTTTCTCAATCGTGTCCTTATCATCCCTAAGATCAAGCTTCGTCCCCACCAGGATGATAGGGGTGTTGGGACAATGGTGTCGCACCTCTGGATACCACTACACAGAGAGGAGTAAAGTCAGGCCCCTCCTCCAGGAACTGCCTTCACCTAAATTACACCCTCATGGGTGTCAACCTGTGTCAACCACCCACGTGGTCACTGAGTCCCCATGGAAGCTTCATGCAGGCACTGGGATGTCGCGCTCCACCTCGAGCACACCCTCCAGAACCACAGGCCACCTGCGGTGTGTGGTCCGCAAGCCCAGACGCCCAAGATTCACATCCCTGCAGAGCGGCCCTACCTGTCAGAAAGAGAGGGGAGAGCCCCCCCCCGCGCCGAAACACTTCGTTTTTGGTAAAACGGGTTAAGTTAGGTCATTTAAAAAATCCCTCGCGTATTCAGGGGCGAGAACAAAACCACCTGACCCTGGTCTCGGGTCGGCCACCAGCACCCCCACGGGCATGCCCCTATTCACCACAACCGAAGGGCCTCTCATGCCTGTCATTTTGACCAAGTTCATGAAAAATGCCAGAGCAGAAAGGAATAGTCATTATTTTCACTAGAGCAACTCCAAAATGCTTCATTATTTTAACAGGGAACACAGCACTCTGAATCAGACCCTAAACTTCACAGAACTCTGCAAACTAAAGTCATATACCTAGAAAGCTGATTACTTACTACTTAAGTAAAAAACTAAGCAGTAGAAGTACTAAAACCAACTTAAATAATCCAGTTTCTATCAGTAAATGATTTTTTATTTTTTAATGTTTCTTTCTAGGAGCGACAAAGTATTTTTCTAAAAAATCCCACTTACCTTTGCACGAACATTTTCAAATGATGCAGGACTCACAAGAGAAAAGCAAATTAAGAATACATCCTATAAAAAGAAAACACAGTGAGGCACTGAGAAAACGGTCTTACAGTGACAATCGCACTTTGCTCCCTAAACGCTGCTGGGAGTGGATGTTTGGACCGGCGGGGACACGGCGCACCCACAGCTCCGGCGGAAGCCTGCTCCCTGACCTGTTCTGTGTCGCCATCCCTCCCAGACCAGCACTAGCATGTGAAGCACCAGTTACTTGTGAGATGGGAGCCCAGTATGAAGTATACTACAAAGTTACTTGAGGCTAAGAGGTATCAAATTCAGACCCCAGGAGGCCTCTTTCCCGCCATTCCCACTCCCACTGGGAACTCAGCGGTCCGATCCTACACAGGGGTGAGATCAAATATCAAGCAAAGTACTACACCAATATTTCTATAAAACTTGGTCTTGGTTTCTAAAAAGCAGCGTCAATTTTAAAAACATAATCTACAAATGGTTTGCTTTTCATTAAGCTCCCCAGCTCTCCATCAGAATGTGAACTACAAACATTTTTAGATGATCATCGGGTTCCGAGACAGCTCCTTAAAGAACTGCCGTCAGAGGCCTGGGCACAGGGTCTCAGGCATTTGGGACACCGGCGCGTCCCTCCAGGAGGGAGGGCAGTCTGCTGTGTAAGTGGCAGCCGGCCAGCTGTCAGAGCTTCTCAGACCCAAGTAAGGCCTCTGGAGAACTTGCACCACATTGTGTAAAAAGTCAAATTTAAATATTTATCTGTATTTAAAATGCCCAAGACAGGAGGGTAGAGCTCAGTGGTAGAGCATGTGTGCTTATTAGCACACATGGGTCCTGGGCTCAACCCCCAGGACCTCCATTAAAAACAAACCAACAAGCCTACCTACCCCAAACAAAAACAAAAGAAAAAGTAAGTTACAGAAAACTACCCAAAAAAGTCCCAAGAATTTCTAAAGTGCTAGGCCTGTATTATACATTCTCCTGGAAAAAGGCAATTATGCTCCTTTGTGAAAGGTGCAATTCCCAAGCCAACTTCATCGCCCAGCAGGCACCTTGTACCTGAAAGGGAAGAGGCACCCCACACAACAGCCTTAAATAAATGACATTTAAAACGCCAGCGCATGCACAAGCTGGTCCAAGAATCACCGCAGCACTCGGGCCCTGAGCTGATCACACGTTGCGAGCAGGGTGGGGTTAGCGCACCAGCACCACGCAGCCGCGCCCCGACACCAAAGCCGGAGAAAGAAGGGCCCGGCAGCCGTGGTTAGTCCCACTCCGGCCAAGCACGACCCCGCCTGAGCTTCCAGTTGGAGCCTCTGCATCTCCCCCAACCAGCCTGGGGGGGTCCTTTACACAAGTCCCTCCTGTCCCTTGGGAGTAGGGAAGACAGCAGTTCACAGACTGCTTTAATTCAAGCCACTAGGGAACCTGTCACGCTCTAAGCAGGTTTTATCAAGTAAAACCCCAACCTTGAGTGAATTAAATATAAAACACTCAAGGAACCGTGAGGCTCAATAGGAAATCCTAGGAAAACTCAGTGAAATGAGAGAACAGATAAAGCTTGAAACTGAAGTCGACGGAAAGGTTTACATACAGCGATCGGCTTGTCTTTGCCCCTGGAGGGTATATCCTTACCATACGCTTCTCCAACCTAGTAATGCAGGAGAACGTGGTTTGAGTTTGGCAAAAACCAGAGAGAAGAGAAATCAGTACCACCCATTACTCATTCTTCTTAACTGTGCCTCGACCCTCCCAAGGGATCTAAGAGCAGATGGCAACTAATAGGTCTACAATGCCAAGGGCTCCTGAACAGCTCCATCAGCCTGGCCACCAGGGGCACAAGGAGGTGCCCTGTCAAGGTCAAGGACGATGGAGACAGAGGTCTAGGCAAACCCTGGGGAGGGGACAGAGGCGCTCCTTCGCCCGTGGCAGCACAGATGGTTCTTCTTCTAGCAGAATTTACAACGTGCCCAAGAAGCCCATGGCTTCTGCTCAGGGAGGACGTGTTAGAAGAGTGTCCTTCCCTCAACAGGGGCCTCCGTTAGTACCAGCACAACTTCAGAGCTCTCTGGCCAAGTCTCAGACACAAGCCCAGCTGAAGCCAACAGAAAAAGCACGTGTGAACATGACTCTGGGACGAAAGGCTCTCCAGGAACATGGCCAGGTCTGAGAGCTGCGACCGTGACCGTCACCCGTGCAGCACCTCCTTCCCCGGTGCTGGGAGTTTGGTTTCAATTCAGGGACCTGCTCCACTGAAGCGACAGCCTTACTGCTCTGAGACCCGCAATCCACCCCCGCACCCCCGACGTGTTTGAAGGCCACCCGGAAGTGACAGCATCTCCAGTGTTTACCACAATGCTTTCAATTCACTTCTTTGTTCCAATAAAAACTGAAAGACTTTGCTCTTCCAGCAACAAAGAACCCTGGAATTCTAGAATTATGAGAAAGACAGGCAAGACAACTATTTTAATTTCATCTCACTCAAGCTTCTCCGATTTCCAATTCAAAGCAAATATTAAAAGTTTTTGTCACTATCCTGGCTTAGTCTATAGGCTATTTTTGAAGCTTCGTCCTCCCAGAGACTTGACATGATGCCACAGCTTTACTGTGATGCCGGGGCTCATGGGGATCGGCCACAAAAATGCAGCTTCAAGATGCCTTCTAACCACATCTGTTCTACCCTCTTCCATTTTTAAGAACATTTTTTGATGGAGAAACATGCTTTCCATCCTACGTTAACATCTCGCCATCTGCCTGCTCCTTCCTCCTTCCGTGTTCCTCTCTGGGCTCAAACATGGCTTCAAGAAAACTCTTCTGGGGGAGGGAGCGGCTCAGTGGTAGAGAGTGAGTGCTTAGCATGCACCACGTCCTGGGTTCAATCCCCAGTACCTCCATTAAAAATAAATCTAATTACTGCCCCCGCCAAAACCAAAACCACTCTTGCAGGGCCTCTGCTTAGCTGATCCTCAAGCACCCACTCATCCTGATCTTTCCCCTTAGACCCAAAGCCCCTCAGCGTCCAAGCTGCTCCACCCCGGCTGGGAGCCTCCCAGCACCGCCAGGCTCAGGCTCATCCTGTCGCCTGGGCGGTCAGTCGTCCTGGGTCCCGGGCCGTCCTCCCTCTGGGTCTGAACGCTGCTTTCCTCAGGGCCGCAGGACACTCCCCCACACCAGACCCCACCCTGCCTTCGATGGCCCCACTGCTCCCGCGCACAGCCTGTTCTCCCTCCCTGGTCAAGATCACAGCCTGGACCCGGCCGCTGCCCCACCGCCTCTCCGTCAGCGGTACAACCCACAAAAAGAGAGTCCGCCTGGGGCCGAATGAGGGTGGCTAGGCCCTCGCTCCTCCCAAAGCACTATCATTTCTCTTTCATTTTGTTCTCCAAACGCTTTCCGCCTGGTTTTTACTTTCAGGCTTGGAATACTTTCTCCTTCAGGCATTCTGTGCACTGAGAAAGGACCAGGATGCATAAATCCTTCAGGCATTCTGTGCACTGAGAAAGGACCAGGATGCATAAACTCAGCTGAGAGAAGCAGCGGCAGATGTGTCCCCACTGTGGGGCTGCTGAGAGAACAAGCCTGGCAAAGAGGAAAGCAGACCCCGACGCGGGGAGCCAGCCTGGCGCTCCCGGCTCCTCCAGGGTGCGTTCCGGAGGGCAGCCCCCCAACACGGACCCCAGGCGAGAGCCGAGCTGGGCTGAACATGCGGAAATGAGGCCTAAAGTAAGGAACAGAAACCACTTCACAGTCTTGTTCCAGCCAGACAAATACGCAGTCACCGTGCCAACTACAAAACACCAGCCGGCCTCCTGGCCCACCCAGATCTCCTGACTGCTGTGCCCCAATCACAGCCTGGCCTCGCTTCATCCCGTCTTCTAGGTAGGATTTACTAAAATGTCCACAGAACTACCCTGTTTCCCACCAGCATCTGACCCAAAGCAGATCCTCGATTCCTCCGCATCTCACCCCTCGGCCCCCGGGGTATCTCCCAGCATGGAGTCACTGAGCCAGTCCTGCTGAACTGCCCGTGCGTCCCAGCGAGCTCCGGCTGGAGGACACCGGTGCTCCGCCAGCCAACCCACAACAAAGCCTGGCGCCTTTTGAAAATCAAAACAGCCAAGCTCAACTTTTTCCTATCTAAGGGTATGGCCGCCTGCCCAGCACTTCACCACCCTTCTCAAGCCAGAGCACACACAGAAAATGATGGTGCTGGTGGACTCGGATCCCGGCTGCCCGCAGACACAGCCCATCACACACGTCCCCACACACACTGTGGTGTTCCGGGACAAGCAGGCCAACAGGCTGGGTGCACGAGGCTGGGCCTGAGCACCTAACCGAAGACGAGCACGCAGAACTTCCCAAGGTTCCCAAAAGAGAAGAGAAAGATAGTTTCTTAAAGGATAGAAACCCCTAAGAATTACTTAGTTCAGAAAATTAAAAACCTGAAGGGCAAGTTATACCAGAAGCTGCCCACTGTCTTCTGGAGAACAAAGTGGAACTAATGGTTTAAACAGTTTAAACTCAGCTACACAGAAGATGCCAGCAGGAAATGACCATAGGAAACACACGTCTCTTTTTAGGTCACAAAGACCTAAAAAGTAGGGAGATCTGGGTAAAAAACCACCCAGCTGGCCCTTCAGGAGTGGCCAGGGCACCGTCATGGATGAGTCACATAAACAGGCCTGCAGAGACCGGGTTAGTACGAAGTTTAGAGGTTTCCCTTTGCCAAGAAGGAATCAAGGTGCCAGCCTGTAACTTCCAGGGCTGCTCCTCTTGGTAGGACAGCGTGGCTCAAAGGAAGGAGAACTTTAGGGTCCAGTACCTCAGCACTCACCCCCCACACTCCCCAACACCCTCAGTAGCCAAGATAACCTTCTCATCTCCAAAGGAGTCCAGGCAGGCACATCTGCTAGTGGGCTGCTCCCCTCTCCTTGCTCCTCAGCACCCTCACACCCCTGTAGCTGGGACATGGTGTGTTACGCGCCGAAGTTCAGGTATCTGACAGGAAATGGTCTGCTGCCTTCCCCGGATGGACAAGTTTAAGTCCTAGCCCAGAAGGGCAGTGCCCACTTGGATTTCAGGCCTCACACAGCGCAGCCTGGTACCTCGGTGGTGTTCTTTAGCGTACAAACTGGGAATCCTGCCAAGTCACCTTTGACTTACAGTGAGTAACTGCCTCAGAGAAGAGGCCGCACCCGCCCTGGACCCTGAGTCACAGGAGGTGGTTCCCTTTCCCAGAAGTGCCACACCACCCTTCCAGACCTCTCCAGCTGGCTGGAGACTCCTACCGTACCGATCAGTACCAAGCTCTTTGAGCTCTGGAATCACCAAGCACCCATCGTATAGAAGGGTCTCCTAAACGTACTGAAGAATTCAAACCATTTGGTGATTAGGGGCTGATTTTTAACACATAATCAGTTACTTTTTTACAGGAGAGTAAGGGCAGCCAGCCAATCCAAGCCTTCCATTTCATGGTTTTGGTCTTTGTTTAGCACTCTGATCAGAACTCAGCTGAAGAACAATCAGCAAAAAGAGCTACAGCTCAAAGGAACCGTATCTGGCAATTACTCCAGCAGAAAGTAAGCAGAAAAGACAATGACTGTGGCTTGGAAGGAGCTGTAATAAAAAGTTTAAAACTATCATTACTTAGCAGGAAGTTCATTTAAAAATAAAAACAAAAAACAAGATTTGGGAAGACTTGGGTAACTTAACTAACTATTCTCACTCACAATACCACCCAAAATGGAGGGTTCAATCTGTCCAAGGGTCAACGCCTGTCTTCTCCAGGATGTTTCCCTGATCCTGACCCCGGCCCACCAGGCTTGCTGAGGGCGAGTCCTGCAGCTTCCACTCATCTGGACCCAGCTCTGAACCGAGGCTCTCCAGACCTACCAATACAGTGACACACAAGCGGAGGAAGCCTCGGACTGTTCTATGTGCCGCACATATACAGATTCACGTGACCCTAAGACCAGAGGTGAAGAAACCTGCCCAGGTTGCAGACCCACAGACCCAGCGAGAAAGAGGGAGGGCAGGATTTGAACCCAAGGAATTTGCTCAACTGCCTCCAAACTCCCCTGGCCAGTGAAGTCACCAAGTCTCCGAAGTTGTTTTATTATTTAAAGAAAAGTGGCTCCCAGTCAAGTTTTCACCGGCTACTGCTCTAATGAGCTTTGGTCAACAGAACATTTAGTCATCTGATGTAGAAGCAAATCCAATCTGTAAATTTTTCTGACTAGATACAATGGACAACACATTTTTACAAAACTGGAACCTCAGTCGACACTGAGAAGACCTGGGTACTAAAACTGTAAAAAATAAACATGTATTTTATAGAAAAACAGTACTAAACCTTTAAGATTAGTTACTAACTTGATTTAAAGAAACCTTACTCTTAACTGCTTAATTTGATTCCACAGAATCAAAAGTGTGACAAAGCAAACTAATCTGCAAACTAACTGCTGTTAAAACTGTTTGGCAGAAACAATACAGCACCTATTTCACACAGCTCTCCTAAAACTACACGGAAGAATGCAAAATGCACAGCACTGCAGTCAGTAACTGGTCATGCTCAGAAGCTAAAGGCGAACAAAACCCTCGTCTGCATCTATTCACTGCTGTATTTAACATTCTTTGTTACTACCTGACGTACCCAAAAGACGGCAATACAGGCAAACCCCCAGGTGATATGGAATTAACTAAACAATCAGGAATTATGTATTTTAAAGGACACACTGAGCATCAGTCACGCTCCTTACTGTCTGCGGGTAGGAGAGGGGACGCAATCGGTCATAGTCTTCTTGTCCAGCTGTGTCCCATAAGCCCAGGTTCACTGGCTTCCCATCCACCATAACATTGGCAGAGTAGTTGTCAAAGCTGTAGGACAGAGTAAAAATGGTTAGTCTTTGGCCCTGGAGCGCAAGGCACAGATCCAGGACCAGAGGCCTGTGAGCTGAGAAGGCGGGAGTAGACCTGCAGGCGGCCAGGCCAGCGAACCCCCACCCCAGCATGCAGGCCTGAGAAGAGGCCCCCTGAGAGCCAAGAAGCGGAGGGAAAACGGGGACTGGGGGCTGGAGTGAACAGAAACAAATACACACCTAGACAGAAACAAGACCGAGCTACTGAACTTAATCAAAGACAAGTCACTGTCACCCATAAAAACCTGCTTGCTGTTAATGAAGAAAAAATTAAGATCTTTCTCCCCAGGAAGAAACACAGTATCAGACGCCACCACCGCAGCACCGGTAGCGCCTCCAGACGCACGGGGAGGGAGGTCAGTGGTCAGGTCCTGCTGCTCACCTGCGCCTGCAGCCAAAGTGCAGTGGCCACACAAGACAAGCCGCATCTGAGAAGCCACTGGGTAACCGAGAAGCTCCAAAGTGAGTCCACCAAATCACATGTGTATTTAAATTAATTTGAGGCTGCTACGCACAAATGAGTTAACCCTAAGAGGAAGCCCAGAAAGCCTACAGGCTGACAGGGGAAAATAAGGCCGACATTAAAAAATGACTGTAAATACCATGGAGTAGTTTTTTTTTTTAATATTTGAAAATTAATTAATTAATTTTATTTGGGCGGGGGAGGTAATTAGTTTACTTTTAGAGGAGGTACTGGGGATTGAACCCAGGACCTTGTGTGTGCTAAGTATGTACTCTACCATTTGAGCTATATACCCTCCCCCTTCATGGAGTAGTTTATTAAAAAGAAAACCTGGCATCACAATTTAAACCAGGGTAAGTACCACCCAGAACACAATACATCAGCCTTCAAAATAAAACTCCAGAATTAATTTTTACATACTTAAGACTGAAAAACTTCAGATGTGACACTGGAGTCATGGTCTGAATATCAGGTTCCAATGTGGTTTATAAAAGTGAATGACCAAACAAGCTTTCATAAAGAAAAGGTCTCCTGTTCTGTATGTCCGATTCAGTGAGAAAAGGCTATTTAGTAAATGGTACTGTGGCGTTTTTTCAGTCTGTGAAAAAGAATCAGGTGTCTGCCTCATCCTATACTAAGAAATAAATTCAAAACGAATTAAAAATAAAATCTTTAGGTACAAAAATCCTAGAAAAAATACTAGAGAACATTTTTAATAAGACATAAAACTCAGGAAAGAAAAATGGCATATTTACCTAAAAACGCAGAAGACACAACGAAGTTCAAAGACAAATGAGACAGGGATAAATATTTCCCACATACAGAAGCTTCATCGGTAAGAAAAATTTTCAGTGGAAAAATAAGCAAAGGATTTCAACAGGCAATTCACAGAAGACTGGGCAGACAGTAAACATTCGAAAGATTTAACCTCACCAGTGATCAGAAATGCAAATGATGAGGTAACCTTTTTCAACCCAAGCTAACCACAGTAGTACTAAGGGGCTGATTCGGTCACAGCTGGTCAAAGTGACACCCCTTTGGACAGCAACTGTGTAGTATCTATTCAAATTTAAAACGCCCATTCCCTTTTGATTTGGCACAGTTCTAAAAACTGAACATGTGTGCACAAAGACACGTGCAGTGATATTTAACACAGTACTGTTTGTAATGATCAGGGGCTAAGTCAGCTACAGTACTTCAAAGTCATTAACAGCTGTCAATGGTTTAGCTCTACCCACATGTATAGATTAGGAAAGTCCCCACCATAAATTCAGGACAACGTGAACAGTATGGCTGCACTTTTACTGAAACATGCACAGGACTCCTAAAAGCGCGGGCTGTGTTCGAGGAGAACACAGTGGGGACTGAGCAGTTTCCTCTCTACCAGCAGGGCGGCCCCAGGACACAGTGCCCCCGGCCGCAGGGCAGTGCCTTCTGAGGGTCCAAGACATAAGGCTCCTTGGTAACCCCATCATCCAAAAAGCACTTTTCCATCCCCACCCAATTCTGCTGCCAACAGGGAATAAGCAGCTCTGCAGCCAGCTGCCCCTCCCGTACACCACCCACCTCCCCACCCCCTACGTACACGCCCAGGTTTCATTCCAAAGTCCAGTAACTCAACAGTGACCGTGTAACCACTGGATTACTTGCCAGAAAAGGCCAATTTAAACATAATGGAGTATTTTGTTCCAGTTCCTTGACCCTTCACACCAAGAGCCCAGGAAGCCAAATTTATCTGAAACTCTTAACATTATCCTGTCTCTGTTCTTCATAGTTAATTAAACTTTCATTTCCTGAATATCTAAGAATCAATTAAGAAAGCTGTGTTTCATCACTATGCAGAATCTTTACATTAAATATTTTGCAAAAGCCCAAACACCTTATAATTAGACTTCAATGGGTGAGATACGATTACAGATATTTAATCTTATCTGTTCATATAAGGATTAAAAAAGGCACAGCAAAACAAAGCTTAATGTACTCCAAAAAGCACATCACAGACAAGTTAGTTTAACTCAAGGTACTTACACAGTGGGGATATATTCTCCAGGAAATGCATTGGTCGTGTAACTGATCAGTAGGCAAGTTTTACCTACAGCTCTAGAGAGAGAGAAAAAAATGGTGTTAAGTTGCTTAGCCAACAAGAATGCATACTAACTTACATTATTCGGTTAAAATAATTCATAGGAAAATCAAGTGGTATACACCAAGTATTGAGCATTAAACAGTTTCTAAACCATTTATTTAACACTATACTTGTTTTTATTCTGAAATTTAAAATCAACAAATTGGAACTACCCAGAAAGGCAGAGTCTGGAGAATTCACATTGTTTTGGGATGAGGTATCAGCTCTAGTGGTTGAGAAGTAGTTAATAAGTACAAGGTTCAAGAGGAAAAATATTCTCAAATTGAAAGTCTCTTCTTTAAACATCTCTAGAAAGCTTTCATGCAAGAATCTTCAATTCTATCCTCAAATTATTTTGATGAATACTAATATGCAAACGGAGCTTTCCTCTCCAACTTCCACTTTGTTGCTAAGTAATCTATTTTGCCCACTGAGTGGCAACTCAAATCCCACCACCTGCCCACAGCCTCCCTCTGGCATCAGTTATGACGGAGTCACTACCCACCATAGAACTGCTCTCACTCTGATCGTCCGTATTCACATGCCCCCTCCCTACTCCCATCCTCACACATCACTTTTAGGGTAACTAACTTATTATGTTCCAGTGTTAATTAATGGCTCAGGGATGCTGGAGTAATTTCCCTAACAGTTGCAAAGAGAAGAAAGCAGCAAAGAGGAGTGGAGAAATAAGCCCGAGACAGGAGGGCCTCCTACACAACTGGTAATGGGGACAGTGTGCCAGGTGGTGGCTGAAAGTCTTCCAACCACTTGAAAATTTTTTCAATGTAAAAACTGAGATGATCACTGCACCATTAGCCAAAACACAGTCTCCAAATTTTACAACATTCACAGGGTGACTTCAGGGGCTTCTGAGGGTCCCTAGATTCCCAAGGGTTTACCAAATGCTCCTCACCAGAGCCCATCTCCCTGCTGTCCTCCGCGGGCTCACCAAGGGATACACTGGAGTTGAGTTGCAAGATTCTGTTCAATCTCAACTACAATAAATTAGGATTCACTATAAAGAAATTAAGTGCTTCTCTAGTTTCCTTGCACTCTTAGTTAAGGCAAAAACCTCTCAACCAGAGCAGATTACAAGCCCACGCAGTCTTGCCAATACTTGTTTCACTCATAACATTATTAAGAGCTTAACAAAAGTTGGAACTCCCCCACCCCAAAGACCTCACAGTCAAACATTACATCATCAGGAGGCAGCTTCCAACTCCTAAAGGCTTTCTAAACAGAAATGACTCATTGGCCATACATTTAGTTAAAAGCTTAGAATGTTTAAAAAAAGAATAAAAACACACACACACAACCTGTTTGAGTAAGAGTTTAAGATTTGAAGTCATTACCCTGGCTGTGCAAACCATAGCCAACTCGCCACCTTTATCAGTTAGTGGCTAAAATTTCTACTTAAGTTTCAACTTCCTTACGCCTCAGTTTTCTTAACCGTAAAATGAATGCAAAACTATCAATCCTTTACAAAACTGTGAGCATTAATTCAATTTCAATCTATACCAACAAACTGGGTGTTATACCAGGAAGTACACCAGGTACTAAAGATACTGCAATGAATAAGACCTCATGGAACTTACACAATTATTAAACTGAAAAATGAAGAATGCAATTACATAAAATTATAGGTGTGATAACTGTTATTAAAGATGTTCTGCAAACGCACAGCAAAGGGATCTAACCTAGTCTTGAGAGTAGAGGAGGCTGCATGTCACTGAGACTTATGAGGCGTGGGGACACAGCAGGGAGGGACGCTCTAGGCAAAACCATCAGCACACAGGGAGCCCCAGACCACAGGAAGCCAAGCAGCTCAGTACAGCTGAGGAACACAGAAAAAAGGGGGGAAGCTGCAGAGGAAAATCTGGAGAGGTTGTCATCTATTTTGGTTAGGGACATGGAACTTGATCTTATTTGGGAAGTAACCGAAGATTTTTAGTTGCCAAGAAGCCATTAGATTTGCATTTTTAGAAGAAGCCTCAGCAACAGTGTGGAAAGAGGACTGAAGAAGCTGAGACCGGGAAGCAAGGAAGCAGCTGTCGCCGCATCCCAGGAACCAGTCCCAGCTGCCCGGACCCCAGAGGAGCTTTAGGGCGCAGAGAAGGGGGCCATTCCCAGAGCCACCTATACGTGAGTAGAAGCAGACAAGCCTGGCTCAGCAGCCGCAGGGTGGATGTGGTAGCTGAGAAAGAGTGGATTCTGAGACCAGGACAAATGAATCTCTTTTCAAAATAAAAATGTTAATAGTTGCTGCCTCTTAATGTCAGACATAACCAGCTAGAAAGGCTTTAACTGTTATGTTAAAATGTCACAGTACTTCAAGATCCCATCTCAAGTCTCTCCTATACGTATGAGCAACAAAGCCATTACTATAAACACCGAGGGGGGTGTGTATATCTCAGCTGTAGAGCACCCTAAGTCCTGGGTTCAATCCCATGCCTCTGTTAAGAGGGGGAAAAAAATTAAAAACAAAACAAAAAAAACGCCACCAAGTGTTTTAAATGCTCTAAAATTTTCTTTTCCTTCAGCTGAGGCGTCATCTTTTAAAAGGATCAACGGCAAAGAAATTCAAGGTACTGGCATAACCTGAAAGTAGCTGAAATTTTACTACCAATCATCATTTGCCATAAACTTGTGTTCTACAAGAAAATTTTTAAAATATAAAATTCTGACTTTTTTAAACAAGTAAATGTCCAATCTTTGATTTAAATATTTACTTTTTAGAAACAGATAAAAGAAAAAAGGGTTATTTACCCCCAATTAGTGTATTTATTCACTCCTTTTTAACACACTCCACAAATAAATGCCACAGGCCAAAGTCAACACTGGGTGTAGGCAGTCACAGCATTTCCCACAGGAAGGTGAATGCAAGCATTTAGTCACAGCCTTGACGACGCTGCTGCAGTTTCTGGAAGTTACTGTTTGCCTTGGGATTTCCAATTTTATATATTTAACTGTTCGGTTCAATTTAACTGCTGTTAAGTCTCGAAAGTGATAAGGAGTCTACTGGAATAAAGTTCCCGCTTTGTCTTGTAGAAATAATCAGGACCAAAGCCAATAACATCTGTTCCTATTATGTTCTTTATCTTCCTATTACGAGAACCTTAAGGAAACTGTTTTTCCTTTGAAATTTTTTGGTTAAGCGTCAGTGTTACTCCCTGAAATCTGTAAGCCAAAACTTTAAAAGCACATACAATCAATAAATCTGGAAACACTGGCAATTTCCTCACATTTAAAAAGACATCAAGGAAAGTCAAAAATAAGAACATTCTGCATTGCCTTAAAAAAAAAATTTAAGAGAGGGGAGGGTTAGCTCAGCAGTTAGAGTACACGCTTAGCATACAAAGTCCTGGCTTCAATTCCCACTACCTCCAAATAACTAACTAAATAAATAAACCTAATTACCACCGCCCCCCCAAAAAAAAACCCCAAAAAGGCAAAAGCAAAAAAAAAAAAAACTCCAATAAATAAAATAAATATTTTAAAAATTAAACTTAGGACAGAAAAACCAGATTTCTCCAGTGACTATTTTAACCAAAAAACCCTACATTTCTGTCTGAAAGTACCTAGATCTCTTCCCCGTTAGTTTTATTAAGGTATAACTGACACACAGCACTGTTTAAGTTTAAGGTGTACAACATAATGATTCAACTTACATACATGACCGAATGATTACAATAGGTTTCGTGAACATCCAAATCTCATATACATACAACAGTAAACAAACAGAATAAGATGATTTTCCTTGTGATGAGAACTCTTAGGATTTATTCTCTTAACTTTCATCTATAACACAGAGCAGTATTAAGTATCTTTACCATGCTATACATTACATTATATCCATCTTATAACTTGAAGTCTGTTCCTTTCGGCTACCTCCTAATTCCTCCTCTCCGGACTCTAAAAGTCCCTAGGATCCTAGGGACAAATTAATAGAATGTGGTGGAACATAAACTGTAAGAATCAAATATATATTCATGCTTACTGCATTAATGAAAGACCTGGAATGAATGTTCTCAATTTACAAGGAGAAATGGGGTTTGGGGTCTCTTTAACACTCGGTCTTCAGTAAATGCTTAACTACGCAGAGAGTAAGTTCAGAAAATGTATGAATTAATAGAGAAGTTTAGTGCCACAAAAACACAAAACCCTATCTGATGTTCTGCCACTAACAAGGGACATCACAATCACCTTACAGAAAGCCAGTCATTACCACCACTGGAGGCTTCAGAAAATTCAGATTCTGCAGTTACTAGAACACGCAAGGCTGAAGATGACAGCTGGTACCTGTGACAAGAGTCCGAATCTGAAGAAGCCATTACTCTCACTGCCCTTCTAGAACCATGAAGCCTACCCCTAGGGTTGGCGAAAGAAAACAGAGTTCAAAACCAAGAATGTATACCTAGCTGCATATCACCCCCATTCTCCTTCACAATCAACTCCTCTACAAATCCTCTTAAAATATTCCCCAATAATGGGAAGATGTGTGATAAAGTAAATAGAGCAGCCTGTTGATTACAGAATCTAAGTGGTAGGTATATGAGTGTTCACCAGACAATTCTTGCAACTCCTCCATGTTTAAAATTTTTCATATTAAGATGTTGGGGGGAAAAAATCCATCTGACGACATGTGGCCCAGTAGCAGGATTCCTGATAAAACATCTTTCTAGGAAGACTACACTGACATATTAGAACTATCAGGTGACGCAGAGAAGAGAAAGTAGGAAGTACTAAGCCATTACATGACTGTCGCAAAAGATTCAACATTACAGAAGGCAGCTTTGAGGTTTCTAAAACAGACTCCTGATACTCCTCCACTGAACCCAACCCCAAACTTTTAGCTGGAATTATCATCTGAAATTAAAATTTAAATAAAGCTTTATGTATAATTTTACCAACCAAGATCAAATACTAAACCTAATCTGGAAGCCAGTGCAGAATTCAATCACCTTTACAAGTCAAAAACGTGGAAGCCCCTGTCTTGAGACAAAAACATACAAAAACAACTGATGAAGAGCTTAAACTCATGGATT